AATAATTCATGAGGAAAACACAACAGAAAGCACGACCATGAAGAGTGTTGTAAATCTGATACTAAACTGTGTTCATTTGCATTAACTTTAAGTTGGATTTTCTTGGCCAAATTCACTTTAATTTTGAAAATTTTAGTGAAACACAAAGGAACTAACCTAGACGTTTGATAAGTCATATACAGTATTTGTGTCCGTCTTGTATCAGATATACAATCACTTGGCTACGCCTCATGGTTGTATATCTGATACAACACGGCCACTCATACTGTATATATTACATATACAATCGATTGCAGAAACGTTGTGGTATACATTTATACATATATCTAATTTATTCAGTATATTTAATGATATGCAAAACAGAAAAATCGCTTTATTTCTTGTTTGTTTCATTCAATGACTGTCAAAATATTTTTGTCTTGTCCATTAGATCGTACAGATTATAAATCAGTTAATTTTAAGCGTTGAAAATGGTTATTTTGTATTATGCATCTCATTAGATATATATACAGCCATTTGCAAAAATTATATTTCAAATATAAATACAAGTATATCGAAAGTATATCAGACAGGGCGGGATATATTTCTTGATATTCTTTTCAGAAAGCCCTAATGATAGACAACTGGAAAGAAATATAAGGGAGGATATCCCATAATTTTTGATATGCTTTTGATATACTCGTATGTACAGCCATTTGCAAAAATTATGGCCCTTTCAAATATAAATACAAGTATATCAAAAGTATATCAGACATGGCGGGATATCTTTCTTGATATTTTTTTCAGAAAGCCCTAGTGATAGTCAACTCGAAAAAATATATAATGGAGGCTATCCCATAATTTTTGGTATGCTTTTGATATACTTGTATATATATTGGAAGCGCCCATAATTTTTACAAATGGCCGTATCTATATATAATATATAAACACTTGATTGCAGAAAGGTTGTAGTATACATTTATACAAATACCTGATTTATTCAATATATTTAATGATATGCAAAACAGAAAAATCGCTTTATTTATTATTTGTTTCATTCAATGAACAGAATATTTTATTCTTGTGTTTTATATCCTACAGATTATAAATCAATTGGTTTTGAGGGTTTAAAAAGTAAAATTGCAATATGCATCTCATTAGGCATTTGTATAAATGTATACTACAACGTTTCTGCAGTCGAGTGTACATATATTACATACAATATGGGTGGCCGTGTTGTATCAGATATACAACCACGAGCCGAAGGCGATTGATTGTATATCTGATACAACACGGGCACGAGTATTGTATATTACTTATGAAACGTCTAGGTGTATTCATTCATGTTGTCTCCCCGATTAGTAGGGCTCTTGTGCCCGGCTAGAAGAAATAGAGACTGTAATAAAGTTATTATTATTATTATATTATGTTCTACTATAATTTTAAGGATAAAATTAAATTTGGCTAAGAAAATTGGAGTTAAAGTTTATGCAAATCAGGACGATTTTGTATCAGATACACAACCTCCTCCACGGACAATGATTTGACACTAGTCCTTATAACAAAGTTTTCCCGGAACATTTCTTTTATTAATTTTTTGTTCTTGCTAGCTGCTCAAACAAAGAAATACGTTTTTCGGTTAAGAAGGTGCACAACTCTGTAACAGTACGTAATAACCACCTTGGATGCCCTCATATTTCAGAAATACAGTTATAATATTTTAGATATTTAAAAACATGTTATACTTTCTATGTTCTATGTTCGCGAAAGTTCTAGGTTAAAGCGTCTAGCTTTTCTTCTTTGTCTGTGGTTACAAATACAACTGGTCTGATTATCTTTAAAAGGAATCAAAAGAGGTGGGATATATCTGCATAGCCTTTGTCCGCCAAAAGAAATAAGTTTGGCGGGAAATCAAGCGCCATCCCAGCCCGATTGGAGTCATCAAACGAAAGCTTTGGGAATCATGTGTGCTACTTAAGAATCCAGTCTGGAAAAATCGAATGTGGCAAGAAATGTCGCATATCATTTGCGTGTTCATGAGGAGGAAATGTCTATGTCCACTATGTGCCTTCGTCTTCTCGTCTACTGGACTATACTATCTCGAAAAAGATTCAGCCACTGCCATTCGCCGCCTGAAGAGAATAGTGGGAGAGGAGTCGAAACACGATGCGGTAACGAGAGCAAATTAAGAGAGTGCAAGCCAAAAGAGAACCAGACAGCGAAAAAACGTAACGGAATTGGAAACAAGTTCAAGAATACTTGATAATCAAATGGAATACGCTCAAAAACGAACACCGGAGCAGCGAAGACGAGAAAAGATGGTTGAGTTTGTCGAGGACGCGTCGACAGGTGAATTGGGTGACGAACAACAGGCTAAACGGAAGAAAAGCCTGAAAGAAGCATTCTATGAAGCCCAAGTAGATCACAAGTCTGTGTGAACAGGCCACGAAGAGCATGGGTATCATGAATAAAGTATTAGCCTACGAAGCMCAARAAWMKCACAAGTSCMYGTGTGAACAGGCCACGAAGAGCATGGGTATCATGAATAAAGTATTGGCCAAGCCAGACAAAATGCTTGAGGAACTTTAGGAATAAAATAAGAAACTGGTGTTTTTTGATTGAATTAAAATATTATTCTTGAAGCTTGTAGCTCTCATTCTTATATAATCCACCTTGCTAGCAAAAAACTCGACTAACTCTAAAACAATTGGGTGTCAACGAATTACCATACCTAAGGTCAAGAAATGTATATTAGCATGTGTAAGGTACTTGTGCGGAAAAACTCTATTGATCAGCAATTAAATGCTTCTTTGAGATTTAAATTTATTAACAGATTCTGCATCCTTAATATGCTGCGGAAGTTTGTTCCATATTTTAGGAGCAGCGATTGTAAAAGCTTTATCTCCGTATGTGGCTGTACAGGACCCAGGAACTACTAATAGGTCTTTATTTATAGAATGTAACCGACGCTTAGGTGGATCACAAAGTAATCTTCAAGAATTCAGGTTGTTTTTATGTTTTTACTTTATAGAAAAAGTAACTTCGATCGCCTGGGATCGGTGAATAATAAAAGAATGTTTTCAATATTTCCATACAGATAAGCTTAGTTTGTTATAAAGTTAAATAACACTGTTATAAAGGAATCACGCATTAAACCAAATATCAACCATTTATTTAGCTTTTCCAGCGAGTATAAAAGTGCTGACACACGGTGCAACATTGCATGCATTATTGCACGCAACAGGAATGTTGCAGCGTGTCTACCCCAAGCTTGTTGCACGCAACTTTGTTCGCAACAAATTTCATCGTGAACATGGCTGCAACATTTTGAAATTTCCAGCTAATCAGCTTGCACCAAATTTATTACTGCAAACTTACTAGTGTTTGTTAATTTACGGCCGGCAAAGTTTTGTATAAGGTGTAATTTGTAGATTTACTGCTTAGCTATAAAGTGTCCATAAGACCGCAAGAAAATCATTGCGTCGAATCTCGAATCATATATTTTCAGTATTGGCGAGATTGCGTTGCTAGATTACCTTCTAATTTTTCAGTGAAGTATTAGGGACATACGATAATAGAATGAGCGGTGTTTTTTGTAAATAGATACCTCAGAAAGTAGCAATTTTTGGCTATGGGAAATGCATGGTTTATAAATCATAAATAATACTTTTAAATTTAGATATCCCCAAATATCTCCAAATTCGTCTTATAGATTTTAATAAAACTGCGCCCAGAGGAAGACAAATGCTCAAGGTATAGGCAGCATGAAGCATTTCCCTAGAAAATGCCATTGGGGGCTAAAATTCGACTCAGATTAAAAACAGGGGTGACGTCATTACCACATGATATGAGATCCGATCTCCTAAAAAAATGTAGACTATACGAAACATGTGTCCTAGTGGATATGAAATTGGAATCAATCTCTTTAGGCATGGGGGGATCAAAGTTGGTCTACATACTCATTCAAAATTATTGGGTCGAGTCACCTAAAGTGTAAATCTTAAGATTAACCCACACTATTACGGTAAGATGTGGATAAGAGGTTGGTAGGCTGACTACTTACCAACACCTTACAATATGGTACAGGACATGTAATGAATGGGATAATAAATTTTGGTTTCAGATTGAGTTAGAACAAGTCTTGGGACTTAATCCAGCACTTAATGCTCAGCTCAAGCCACCAACAAAGTCTGTACCTACATCTAATAAGAGAATTGCCAATACTCCTAATAACATCAAGGTTTGTACCATTAGGGAGCATTCATATAATTTATCTAGTGGGGGGATATTGGGGTTTTAGGTTTTGAAACAAAAATTATTTGGGGGGGTTCCCCCACGCAAACCTACATAACATATTTTCAGTGACCCTGAACCCCCCCTCCCCCCTGCCAAAAAAAAACTATGGAACACCAACTGACACGAAACCGATGCCCCCCTCCCATWGCCTATTCCAATATATTGTCTTACAAACTATGAGTCTTCAACATCTAAAGAACAAGAAAAGATAAGAGATATTTGTTCTATTTTCATTAATGCATAACATTAAACAGCAGGGAAAAAATTTGACCTGTGCATACCATTTACACAGAACCATCTCTTTAAGGTGGCTTCACTGGGTTTTATCCGCGCGATACCATGCAACTTCAAATCGCAAATACTCGGACGCAAACAATCCAATACTAAAATTGTTTTTAGAGGTTTCAAAGGAAAGATGAAATTTTCGAATGAGCATGTTTTTACTGAAATCGGAATTAATATAAGATTGCTGTTCTGCATTTTTTGACCTAGGTTTTTAAATTGCTTTTGATATATTGGAGGATAAGTAATTTGCTCAAGGTACAGAAAATTTGAAGAAAATCTGTATGAGCATTTTCGAGAAATTGCATATTGAAGTTTTAAAGTATAAAAAATTTGCAAAATCAAAACATGTTAGTAACTTTGTAGTCTCCCTCGCATCCGTTTTTAGTGTCGGTCGTCACGCAACGCTCCCTCCCCACGACCRACACTAAAAACGGATGCGATGGAGACTAGTAACTTTGTGGAAAAGTAGTATTTTCTCAGTTTTGAGTCCCTAATTTTATCTAAAGAAGTTGGTGAATCACTTTGAAATAATAGGTAAAAATTGTATAGAAATCGTACCATTTGATAATTCAAAATATTTGGTCGACTTAAATTGGCTATGAGCCGTATTTTTGGACTATTGTGTTATGTCAATGAACATGATCGTAAATTCAAATCTACTCTGTGAATTGTTTTTAAATTTAGTCAACATTAACTGCAATATCTAGGCAACAAGATGCCAAAATTTCATTTTCATTGAATCATTTTAAAGCTTTCAAACTTTAATCCGCATTGAGAACTGTACAGGACGGCGATTCTATTTATCCCTTGTTTATTTGATTTTTCATCGTTATTGTCCTCTTATCGCATTCGCGTAAATTCGCGTAAGTTGAATTTGCTTGGTATTGCGCGGATAAAACCCAGTGGAGCCACCTTAATTTGTATAAAAAATATGTAGTTGATGACAAAGCAAGCCTTTTGCTAGGCCCTGCCCGCTTTTAAGCCTCCCCCCCACCCCCCCAAATGTTACGGGATAAAATATAAATCATATGACCCTCCTCAAAAACCACCAGATAAATTATGAACGCTCCCTTATTATTAAAATATATTTCAGAATATCAATGCAAAAAACAAACATTTTAGGGTAATTATGTTTTTGATATAAGCCAGTTTAAGGTGGCTTCATATAGTTTCGGTATTTAGAGTAATAGAACTAGAAATTATTTCATAGCAAATACAGATATATATCGTGATATCTGATACGCTAACCATATTAAAACTATGAGTTTAGAAATCATTTTTCGTGAAAATGATCACGTGAATAGTTACAATAGCAACGAGACGTCAGCCCTTTTTGCCATTAAAAAATTAAAATCTCGAGTTTCCCGTGGTCAATCTTTTTTAGATTGCGGAATACCAAAGTTTGTTTGGTTACCTATTATATGACAGCGTTTTATTAAAATCGTGACTACAGAATACAGAATATTAAAGAAATGTTGAGTTTTCAAGATAAAAAGTTTTCTGTATTCCAAATATTTTTATATTGCGTCAGTTGCCTTATCATTCTACGAAGAAAAAAACGTTAGAAATTTAAAGATATTTGGCCACGTATTTTTCGAGTTTTTATTTTTTATGCCACAGACTTTTCATGACGTCATTAAAATTAAATTCTTCAAGTACTGCAACTGCGCATGCTCGTGCACAACCTGGCGCGCACGCGTACAAAAACTATATGGAGCCACCTTAAATCTGGAATGTTAAACATCATGTTCTGACCAATCACATGCGACAGTTAGAAATGAATTTGTTCCGATGTAGTCAAAATTGATTACAGGGTTGCCTGTGGTAAATCTGTAATTTTCTCCTGTGTCAGAAAATGGCAAAATTGCGCATTAGTACCCAATGGTCTTCACGGCATTACTTAAGAGTCCTATGCGCGCGTATGCTACATAGTTACCGTGTGTAGTCTGACCTATTACACATGCGACAGCTGTCAATCAAGGTAACGAAATTACCAAAGTTACTCCAAACTGATTGATTGGAGACGGGGCTCCTTAACACGCCTCGAAAATTACTGCTGCGCATTTTATTTCTTGTTAGCCGTTGTGATTCATTGGTCATAAGAAAAAAATTATTTCGCTGTTACAATTAATCCTGCAAGATTGGTATCGTCAAATTCAGTATTTAAAAAAAGCATTAATGAAAAATATAACATGCTTAATTCCAAGCTTTTTATTCGAAATAATTTGAAATAATATTTTGCATGAGCACGCTATTGGACCGTTGACTTGGATGAAGCTGTTCGGCCATCAACCCCCATTCATGTTCAAAGACATGAATAATCGTGTGACAATTAACAGCCACCAAAAATATGCTAAGCCTTGAACTAGTAATGTAGGATTTTAGTCGAAGAAAAAAATTGCCAGTGCTGCACCCCTATGTTATTGTTTACATCGTTTGCCTGCATCGTTCTCGAAATAATTTTTAGAGTATCTAGCTTACAATAAAGTAGGCTAATTGGGGACACCTATCTAAAGAAAAAACAAATATACACAATATAAAATATATCATACATCATATACGTGTGGTTTTCATGCAGAACTCCGGACTGCTCAAGCGAGCAGAAACCGAATGACTACCATAACCATCCGGCCCCCAACCGCTCAAGCGAGCCAGGAACTCACGCGAAAAATATGCACCGATACTTATCTTAATATTTAACTAATCAATAAATTCAGAAACACATGCTATTTACAATCTAAAAAGTTTCTTCACAAAAAATATCCTTAAACTACAAAGTATTCCATCTAAAATAAAACCTGAACATGGTATAAAACCCCTCCAAAAAAAGTCTAAATAGTCATTTTACTCTAAGAGCTAATATGGTCATTAATTACTACATAGAGGGCAGTTGTGACATTTGTCTTTCAGCAATGCTTCAAGATCCTTTCTTATATTGTTCTTAAAACTATTTAACAATTTGGAATTTCTGATTTAATATCTAATTTGGACCAGAGGCATAGGACAAAGGTACTTAAGCTATGTTTGCCGCAAGAAACAGTATTAAACCTAGGTATCACAAAATCGCTATTTCTTATTATGACTACTATAATTATTCTTTTCAAATAATTCTTGCACATTAGATGGGCGAAGTCCATTTTTTATCTTATACATAAGATAGCAATGTCCTATATATGTTGGTTCTTTATCGTTGGTAACTTTGCCAGTTTGAGCAGTTGAGTAACATTGTTTTTTTCGTTATAAATCGCTTTTTAATGATATAGGGTATGATGTTACTAGATTTAGTCATAATTCACCCTCTTCTTCCTTTTTCTWATCTCCTATTTCAATATCTGATGTGAACAAAAGACTATTATCTCTGGATAGCCGACGGCGTCTTTGAAGTTTGGTAGAGCGAGACAAATTTTGGTAAGATAAAAAAATTGCGTTCGCACTAGGAAACGGCTGATGTTGACAGATTTTTTTGCAAAACAAACATAAATTTAGCCTAGTGCGAACGGGCCCTAATATAAATTTCAGTTTGGATTCAGGAAAAACCATTCCACTGAGCAAGCAATTTTAGAGATTACTGACACCCTTAGGAAGTCTATTGACTCTGAGAATCTCACTTGTGGATTGTTTATTGACTTCACTAAAGCATTTGATACAGTGAACCATCAAATTCTTCTCTCCAAACTTCATAAATATTTATGTCTATTTTCTGACATACTCAGATTGCCCTATTTCACTATGAAGTCGTTGCTTGTTTATGTTGGGGATAGAATCGCCAAATCCAATAGAAAATTCAACGCAATTTACTCCTAGCGAAACAGTTTAATCTAAAATGGCCAGGTGTTTTCAGATATAATATGTGTTAATATGTACTATGAAATATTCTGTGCGTTTGCTGGCTATTCTACTTCTTTTCGTGAATTGATACGGGTTTTAGAACAATTTTCGTTGAATTTCTGTTGATTTGACCCCGTCCGACGGCCATGATCCTTTGCGTTTAAACAATATTGTTGAAGATTGTTTTGATGTGACGTCATAGTGAAATAGGGCAATTGGCCAGCGAACAACATTCCTATAATACCAGCTTTGCATCTAAAGGGAATATTGTTTGACCATCCGTCAAAACAAATTATGGCAAATTCACTTTCCAGTTTTCTATAGCTTAAACCTGGGAAAACATACCAATTCACATTAAAAATTCAAGCTCTATTTTTCTCTTAAAAGATATGCTAAAAATGCATCTGATTCGGTCACAATCATAATTAAATTTACTCTTTTTTATTATTTATTAATTCTATATATCAATATAATATATTTATATTACATTACATTATTTATATATTATACTTGTATATTAATTTAAAATTTCTAGTATATTCCTAGGCAATCTATCACTATCGACTTGGCGGTACTACCACCCCAACTTGGGTAGGGGTGTGCCGCCAGGACCTCAAAACCCTGACCCTATCCCAGACCTAAAATTTTGATTTTACATATCCTACCCCAGAATAAAAGTAAGAGTTGTACCCCTTATCCTAGACTATACCTGGTTAGTCAATAGATTGCAATCAATATTTACTAATATGTTTATTGTTTTTGTGCTGTCAGAAAGCGTAGTCTATTTGCCAGACAAAAACGACCAAATCGTTAACCCTATCCCAGACAAAAATGATACCCTATCCCAGACAAAATGTCAAAAAATGATACCGTACCCCAGACCCAAAAGCCGAAAAACCATACCTTATAGGGCGGCACATACCCGTATAGCAAATATAGGGGGGGTTAGATAAGGGTAAACAAGGCTTTAGTAAAGTTGTTTAAGATGCATTAAAGAGATACAGTGTCTCAATTTTTTAAAAAAACTCTAGCATTTCTTGATAGGCGTGAGCATATAAAAGAGATGTGGAATTTCCAAGATAAGCTATCATCGATCGTTACTCCTAGGTATTTGATGTGGTTTTTCTTCTCAATATGGGGTTTTTTCTCCACAACACCAGACGGGTACAACAAATTTCCGACATTATGCAAAAACCTATCCTTGTCCTCTTTATTGACCTCAGCGCTGCATTCGATCACATCGTCAGGAAATGGCTTTTCAAAACCATCTACATCCGTTTTACAAGCAACGCAAATACAACCTGTATCAATATCCTAGAGGCCATCTATAATGACGACACTACAACCCTAAGAGAGACCCCCGACGATCAATTTACTATCAGCTTTGGCGTCAGATAAAGAGGTCCAGAAAGCCCATTTCTGTTCAACCTATTCATGGATTTTGTGATGAGGGTGTCATAAAATAATTCAAGAAAAAAATGTGAAATTCATTGACTTTCAATACAGAATTATTAATTAAAGATAATATATACTAGTTATCGATTGAGTATATAGTACATGAAGCTAAGATCAACTTTGAGTTCTTGAAAACTAAAATGACTCTCTATTAATAATAATAATTTTATGTTTATTATTATTATTATTATTATTATTATTATTATTATTATTATTATTATTATTTTAATTTTTTTAAAAATTAGATTTAATTTCTTAACAATCAATAGCTTTAAGTAAGTCATTCAAAAAATCAAGCGCAAACCTGTGTAATGCCCTAGCTACCTTGACAAGGAGATTATGTACAGAGTGTGGTGATCCTTATACTACTGAGCCATTACTAGCAAGTCGGCTGGTCCCATTAGACAAAGGTGGGGGTGCAGTTCGACCGAATGGTGTCGGAGAAGTGATCAGAAGAATAATCGGGAAATGCGTGATGAAGGTGTTAAAACAGGATGTCATCGATGCTAGTGGTTCACTCCAGGTCTGCGCAGGTCATAAATGCGAAAGTGAAGCAGCGATTCACGCAATGCATAATATATTCGAAGCTGATGATACATATGCTATATTGCTCATTGACGCTTCAAACGCGTCCAATGCCTTGAATAGAGCTGCTGCTCTGCACAATATCAGAGTACTCTGTCCCACCATAGCAACCTACGCAATAAACACATACAGAGAACCAGCGCGAGAACCAGCCGAACTAATTGCCATCAAAAAAGGAGAAGATTATGCTACCACTGCATGTAAGCTTATGCTATCAAGTTCTAGTCTCTGAACATGAACCTTAAATTGTTTCGATATTGTTCCGAGCGATCCAATGACTATCGGAACTACCATGGTCTTTATCCTCCACAAATTTTCTACTTCTATTCTGAGGTCTCTGTACTTGTCAATCTTTTCCATTTCCTTTTGATCAATTCTATGGTCCAAAGGCACTGAGATGTCAATCAATTTCGCCTCCTTCTTGCTCTTATCTGGCTTCAATCTTCTTATCCGTGTAAACATTAAAATAATGTTGTCTCCTTCAGCTCTAAAGCCTGAGTATCCCGAATGAATGATGCGTAAACCAACCAAAGTGTCGACAAGACCACGCTGAATGTTCTTGTTCACCTACCAGTTTCACATGGTACTGCAAACATACAAACAAAATCAGCATTCCAACCGACTTGCTAACTGACCCAATCGATCACTTAATCGATCAAAACATCGAACACTTGTAATACCTTAATCAGCCTTGCGTTTATGATTATTTTATGATTATAATTATTATCATTATTATTATTAATGTTATTATTATTAATATTATTATTATTATTATTATTATTATTANCTTTTCTGACTATCTCTCTTGTGCGTCGGTCTATGTCCTTCAGTTGGTTTATTTTCCAGTCGCTTGTCCACATGTGGTAAATGTTATTATTATTAATATTATTATTATTATTATTATTATTATTAGTCTTAATATAAACTGAGCTTTCGGGCTTATTCGCCCATCCTCATGGTACTGAATAAATAGAAAACGCACGCGCGTGCTGTGTGCAGTTATAAAGCACGCGGGGGTTTGCAGAACACGAGAGAAGTGTAAGGAGAAGCACGACGCGTAGCGGAGTGCTTCTCGACACTTCTCGAGTGTTCTGCCAATCCCCAAGTGCTTTATAACTCCACACAGCACAGCAAGCAAGTTTTTTATTTCTTTTATAAAATACAAATTACAGGAATGACGAAATTGAAAGTGCGCGTGCGTGCTGTGTGCTCTCATAAAGCACGCGCATCCAACCAATCAGAACGCGAGATTCATAACAGTTATTTTATAAAATGGAATCAACGGTAAAACTATCACGATTACAAGCATATATGCGCGTGCTACACACGTTAACAAACATTCATTTCGCGCAGTCACATAAACCCGCGAGCTATCAGTACAATAAATCAAATAAGTTGCAGATAATTTTCAGGCAAATATAAATATAAACAAATAAATATTGTTACTTCGATAAACAAATATACAAATATTATTACTTCGATAAATGAAACTGAAAAGCGCAAATTCAGTACAATTGAGAAGACATTTTTATATTTAAAAAGGAGAATAATCAATTTTATGAATTATTATCGAAAAACATGTCATTGCAATGCATGATAATATTCGTGTTCTGGTATCGTATTACATACACTCATTTGAAGAATCGTAGTTGGGTTCAGAAACAGAACATGAAAGCTGAGACCGAATGGCACAAGGGAAATGACATAATCATATTATAATTCATTCATTTGCGCCATCCATGCAGTCGGTTTAGAATGCCTAACGCGTATTAAAAGCAGTGGATGATGCCACGGGTCGCCGGTCACAGCATGCATCTAGTTAACGTACTTCCCATGTGCCATTTCGGTCTCAGCTTCTATGTTCTATGTTTCTGAACCCGACAACGATTTTTCAGTTAAGTGTATATTTTTTAAATGATGGTTTGTATGACTGCTGAAAAGTGTTTGTAAAGCGCTAGCAAAGTTTCTCTTGCWAACAAACCAAGTTAAAATCTTACTTTCTTAATCTCCGCTGGACTCCCGCATCTGGAAAGCGAGCCATTGATCGCGTTTGAGTTAACTTTCGAGAACGTTCAAATCATCAGAAAAGAGCGGGAAACTAGTGTCACGTGACCATTTTGAGCCGTCACATGACCATTCATACGGAATTMAAAACTCGATCGATTGTTATTTTGGCGGTGCACTGGCGTTGCTAACAGTTGAGTGATTTCAATTTCACTTTTAAAAAACGCTTTTTAAAGCTTAACCCTGCCCCCCAAAAGTAGGCACTCACCTTATAAAGCTAAAAGAAACGGTTTAGTGTGTAATTAATACTGTTGCTCTAAATATTTCAGAATGCAAAAGTGGAGTCCTCTGCAGCTACGTCTCCAAGAGTTACTAGAGGTAATTTAGATATCATATGTATCATATCTTTATTGTATATATTATTTTCGGTGGTAATATAGAAATCAAGAATGCAAGGCTGCATGTCGGCCAATAAGTCAGTGACCATGAAGTTTTGTTTCAGTGATAACTAAAATAAATTGTAATAGTCCCCAACAATCTATTTTCAGCCTGCTGTTACTTTCTTACCAATACCCTACCAACATTCTTAGTGTACCAAGATTCTACTGATGCCCTATTGGCAACCTACCAACAAAATACCGTTTTCGAATTAGTCAAATGCCGCTATTTTTTTTAAAAACAATTTCAGAAAGCTATGTATCACAGACTTATTTTATGCAGGGTTAGCCTTATTTCATTGTCGAAACATTCACAAATACCAACGGTAATGTAAAGAATGCACAACTTCAACAATTCAAACACCTTGAAATTCCACGGACCTTCACTGGAATGCATCAATATCCAAAGTAATTTCATACGAAATCGAGGCTAAGCCAGTACAACAGAGATTAGGTCCTTTGCAGTTAACGGTCACGTGTCTGTAATGGACGGCAAAATTTATGTTTTTATATTAAATTGGTGATTTATTTTAGGTACTTGTAAAGAACTGAATGAAAAGATGTGTATCCAGTGTGTTACGAAATGCAGTTTTATTACGATCTCTCAAAACATGTTGTAGAAAGTTTGTTTGCTCTCCAGTAAATTTCACCTATGGAAATCAAAATGTTTATTCATTTGCTCTCAGTGAATCAATCAGCACGTGAATGCTTAGCTGCAAAGGGCCTATTCGAAACTGGAGAACTGTTGTTTTTCTAATGTTACTAGCAAGTTATTATAATTATTGTTCATTTTAATATCACATATGTTTAAAACTTTACAGGGAGGAGTGAAAGACCAACAAATCTGAATCTAAACGAAGCAGAAAATGGCCCAGTTTCTGATACTCCTCAAAGAAAGGATAGCACCAATTCGAACCCTTGTAAGAGAATCTTTGCATATTATCTGATACCCAGTAGATTATTCAGCTTTGCATAGGCTAAGGTCCGGTATCCTAAAAAGCATGCGGCGCTGACTGTGATTGGCTGCAAGAGCGAGAGGAATAAGGCTTCGCCATTCATGCGCACGCATGGGATAAATTATTGTTAAACAACAAAGCAAGTGGAAAAGTAAACGGGGAAAAAAATCAAAAACCATTTTTATTTCTTTAATTTTTGAATAAGAGTGCAGACTTCACCCGAAAGTGATTTTTTGACTGGCCTACATTTTTTTGGGCATATCACTGTTGCCATGGGGATAGAGTTTCTCCCCTTTCAAAACGAAATGTCGTCTAGCAAGTCGAGACTGGGAAGACGAGAAAGACGATCATTTCAATCGCCGAAAAACGTCRGCAGAGAATCCAAATACAAAAATGCAACATCGATAACTAAAAACATTTCACTTACAAGTACGGTTTTGCAATTGAATAAGAATAAAATTATTTTTCTGAATGTTTGCTCTTTAAAGCGAACCATGAATTTATCTGTATCCAGTAGCTAAGTGGTAGAGCATCCCACTGGAATGCGTCATGTTGTGGGATCCATTTCCATTTTTCTCATTATGATTCAGATGTACTCTTGATTTTGATGTGTAATTTCTGACTTTCAACAATCAATGGTAGACTATATATATCAGCATATAGTTTTTATATGTTTTTACGAGGGAAGCACTTAAAAGCCAGTGGCTTAACAAACCTCTGGCCCCCGTTCCATGATCCAATTGGAATTTAAGAGTTTATTTTTGCATTGACGAGAGCGAGCGCTCTCACCGCTACTCCACCCGTGCTTTCCATGAACTTTCCATAGCGATTCCACTCGCTCAGACTTTGTTTTGGCAATATTGTAGACATTAGGAAGTGGCGTAATTTCGTGCTGATACTCTCAAACTTCCATGTCTTTCATTCTTGTTTTTGATCTAGTCTCCATTTAAACTGCAGCAGCGTAAAAGTAATGATGGATGATGTAGACAAGTTATTATACAAATCTAAAATAAAACTAAATAAACCAGTGTAGCGCCGTGTAGACCCAAAAAAAATTCCATCCAATGTACAGCCTTGTACAAGAGATGTAGATAAAAACACTGGATTTTGGTGATTAATGTACAGCCTTGTACAAGAGATATGGATAAAAACACTGGATTTTGGTGACCAATGTACAGCCTTGTACAAGAGATAAAGATAAAAACACTGGATTTTGGTGGCACGAGTGAAAAACGTCTGCGCATGCTCTGAATCCGTATGCAAATTAGTCAAAACATAAGTAAATTTGACTTTCAAACATGCCTGATAAATTGGACTTCACAAAATGCCAAAGCTTAGCGTCCATGCTTGAAACTTAAGGCCAATTCTTTCATATTGTGTTTGTTAATACAGTATCTTGGTCTAACAAAAGTATACTCTCGAATTTTTTTGTATACTTGGAGAAAACAAACATTTATTTTCTCACTCAAACTCTTCAAAATTCTTAGAAAACGTGCTGAAGTGCACGCATGCGCAAACGTTTTTCTCTAGTGTCGATTATGGTTATGTTCTCAAAAAATTCCTTCAAATATTTTGAATTAATTTTCAGAAAGGTTTTTAAAGTTATTTCAATAATGATGATGAATTGATATTTAAAATAATTTTGTGTGAAGCCTTGGTTTCCAACATTTCATCCAAAAAAATGATACTAATAATAATCCAAACAAATTTCAACATCTTGAAAAAGAGCTAAGGATACATTTTTCTCTATTTAGTTTGAATAAGCGTTTCTATAGAGTACAAACACTATAAGTGTGYAACATAAATACCACTAAATACTACTTAATTATGCTAATCCCATTGTTTTCTATAACTAGCACTATTCTATTAAATAGTACAAAGTGTTGCACACTTTTAGTGTTTGTACTCTAGTAAAATTCATTGGCTGATTAGGGGAATTCTACTGATATAAAGATAGCTTTAAAATTCGTAGATAGTTTTCTACTTGTTAACATTTTTTGTTACAGTGTTAAGTAATGTTATGTTTTAGCAAACAGACGAAGATCAAATTGTGTAAAAGAAGTTGAAAGATTGAAAAAGAACAGAGAAGAAAGAAGGTAAGAATGCTTTGCATTTGTCTATCTGCTACTTTCCTCACGATCTTACTATTGATATTGATTGTCAAATTAAAATTCTTGATATGAATGTGATAAAAAAACACCATGGAAAGTGCTTTAATTAAGTACAGTTTTTATTCACTCGTTTCGTATCATACTACACAACTCGTGAATATAATCCGCACAAGAAGATAATAATAATAATAAAACGTAAGAATTACTATATTTGACGTGAAAACGGCCTTTAACTTTTCAATCAAAATTGCAAAAACCGAATTTCTTGAATTTCACACAGACTAAAGAGCTATCTATATCTTGACAGTATCTGGAAGGCAAGATTTTGCCGTATCTTTTCAGGTTGCGTTCACGTTTAAGTAATTACAAAAACAATTAATTTTCGTATTCGAAATTTCCGTTATGATTGGAAAACGTGAAAATGACTCAATTTCTTTAAATTACACCTTGTTAGAGACCGAGATTACAGCTTCAGGGTGTGCTATTTCGTTTTCAAAGTTTCGATCGATATTCTTCAAAAATGCACTATATGCAAATTAGACAGCGACATCACTCCCTCGTTATAACATTACCGATTTCCAATATATATATATWTTTTTTTTTTGAAAGTTTATTTTATGCCAAGACGAGTGTTGGAAACTGTAGCCGAAGGAATCTCTGGAAAGGGAGCAAGCTTTGCGTTCTTCCTTTATTAACTATGGTTCCAGCAATTATTTCCAAATCTTTTTTTCTTTTCCATCTACTTGATATCATCCTTCTCAACAAACCAAACCAACAGGATTCTCTATCTAAGAAGCAAAACGTTACTAATATGTTTTGTTTTTGCAAGTTTCTATTCAAAACTTCAACGTGAAATTTCTGGAAAATGCTCTCACAGATTTTCTTCAAATTCTCTGAACCTCGAGAAAAGTACTCATCCTCCAAAATCTCTAGCGCGATTTAGAAACTTAGTTTAAAAAATGGATTTGTCTGTGAAAACTGTTACGTGTAACCTTTCTTTAATAAAGTTGATTGATTGTTTGATTGATTGATCGATTTATTGATTGAGAATATAGGCAATAAAGCAAACGTCCGCGTGACGTCATAAAAACGAAGAAAAAGGCGAAATTCGGACAAACAAACTTACAAGTTTACTTTCAGCAGA